TTTTTGATTTTAGCAAATGGCTGCAATGAAACAAAGAGTGAAAAATTGAAAGGGGTCTGAATACTTTCCGTACCCACTGTATACTGCAACTTCAAAAGGTGTCAGTCAGAGATATCAAGCAGCGCAGAGGAGAGAGAGCCAGCATAAGAGCTAGGCTGTTCCACTACCCAGCATGCTTCTGGCTGATGTCCAGTCGCCAGCAAGTGGAATGGATGAAATAGGACTTGGGTTGGCCCAGCAACGAGAGATCAGGGAATGTAGTGCCCACATCCCGGAGAGACCCGGCTCCATCGTAGCATCCCGGATCAGCATGTTATGTTTGCATCAGTGTTTGCTTGGTGCTCAAACGTAGTCAGCGTTGATGGACAAGGTTTCCCTGATGTGTTCTTGTTGCCGTGGTGTATTGTGTTCCTCCTGGATCTAATAGATGCACTACAGGAATGTACTGCTGTTCTGTTTGTTTTGTTTCTGGTTTACCTGGTGCAGCACAGAGGGACAATAACCCTAACCCTTTCCTTGTGTTGTACGATGATAAATTAACCTTAAATAACAATCCTGACATACTCGATAAACTACCACGTAGCCTCTAAATAGTAAAAGACTCTTAATTGAATTTCCTTTATTGTGTTTAGACAGCTACAAAACTGTCACTAAAAACACACGGCCTATTTGAACTTGTTACCACAGAAATGCTGTGAAATCACTGCAGGTCACACAGATAGACTGTGGCGGTGCTATTTAAACACTTAAAAACAAATAACATTTTAAAATGAAGTCTGTACTCTACAGGCAGCCAATGAAGGGATTTTAAGATGGGTGAAATGTGTTCACGCCTACCTGTACCAGTTAAAAGACTCGCTGCAGAGTTCTGCACCAGCTGAAGGCGTGATTCCAGCAGACAAAGAATTATAATAGTCCAGCCTGGAGGTGATAAAAGCATGAATTACTTTCTCCAGGTCTTTTGAGAATAGAAAGGCTTTGACCTATACTTTTTCAATTATAGAATAAGTTCACATTTGCAGAAAGAACACTTTTGAGCAAATCATTTCAGGAGATGTGAAAATGAGTTTGATGATTTTTCTATTGTTTCTGGTCATTAGAGTAGAATGAGAAGGAATTGAAAGCTGCATGTCAGAAACACATGACATGTTATATATCATATGTACAGTTAGATAGATTGTGCGTCGCTTTTTCATAATGTGAAGCACATATAATATAATAACACATCTTTACGTATGGAATGCCACTGTGTATCAGGGTATATCAGGGTAGGATGGTGTTGATGTGGTAGCATTGAAACGCTCTCACTAACGTTATATGGTGAATGATGTAGCTAATGCTACTGAGCTAACCGCTAGGTTCACTGAAGAGTGGTCTATGACAGTTGATAGAACTACAGTAAGTTACATAATAGACCAATGTCAATGACCGTTATTCAAAATGACAAAGAATAGCCTTTATAAGAGTCCCCAGCGCTATATTGTGCCGGCTCTTCATTGGTGGTGTGTAGGACTAGGAACACACCACCCTTGAGACGGGTTATGACACTATTATTCGCCTGCCGTCCGAAGTTGAATTTAGCTGAGAGAGCTAACGTAACTAGCCTTCATCATTCGTGGTTCCAGACCAAACAGCGACAGACAGGCGGGGGCGAGCGTGACCGACAGAACGACGGTTGACAGAAACAGTCACGTTAACGTTACACTACCTCAGACTGTGCACGGACGTGTGTTCTCCTTGTGGACTTCTTCGCACTGCTAGCTAACAGCTACCGTCCTCAGAGGGCGAATTACCACGTGTCAAGCTACTCGTATGCACCCAGAAACAGTGTGTAGGAACTTCCGGTTACAATATTAATCTAACCTGTTCCAAACATATAACGGACCAAGGTTACGTCAACATTAGTCATATTTTCATATAATAAGCCACAGATATGTAAATAGGAACGTGGCTGAAATAAACAGAGCTTTTATGAGCATATGAAAATCGAGCAGACGGGTTTGACTAGTTTATTGTTCCTTTTGGAATAACTTGTAGCTAATGGCTAATAGTGTCATATGTAATAATATGCAAACGCAAATCCATAATTACGTAAAAATGGTGAGCTTCCAGTTTGTGTTCGTCCCTTTTCTGTTAGAACATGCCAATACCTCACCCACACCTCACCCACAGCCCACACCTCACCCACACCTCACCCACAGCCCCCACCTCACCCCTCACCCACACCTCACCTCACCCATAGCCCACACCTCACCCCTCACCCACACCTCACCCCTCACCCACAGCCCACACCTCACCCACAGCCCACACCTCATCCACACCTCACCCCTCACCCACAGCCCACACCTCACCCACACCTCACCCCTCACCCACACCTCACCCCTCACCCACAGCCCACACCTCATCCACAGCCCACCCCTCATCCACAGCCCACCCCTCACCCCACCCATCACCCACAGCCCACACCTCACCCACACCTCACCCCTCACCCACAGCCCACACCTCACCCACACCTCATCCACAGCCCACACCTCATCCACAGCCCACCCCTCCCCTCACCCACACCTCACCCACAGCCCACCCCTCCCCTCACCCACAGCCCACACCTCACCTCTCACCCACAGCTCACCCCTCACCCACAGCCCACACCTCACCCCTCACCTCATCCACAGCCCACCCCTCACCCACACCTCACCCACAGCCCACACCTCATCCACACCCCGCCCACACCTCATCCACAGCCCACCCCTCCCCCACCCCTCACCTCACCCACACCTCACCTCACCCACACCTCATCCACCCCTCCCCTCACCCACAGCCCACACCTCACCCCACACCTCATCCCACCCCCACTGCCCACACCTCATCCACAGCCCACACCTCACACCTCATCCACAGCCCACCCCTCACCCAGTATTCAGTATTGAATCGAGACCGTTTCAGAAGCAGTTAAAAGTCCCCCACAATAACGTGAACTAAAATAGATGCTCTTTTAGAATCCGTTGATCTTCAGGTCATTGATTTCTCTAATAAAGGAATGTTTCTGAGAACCTGATGTGAACACTTTACTACAGATGGAAAGAAACCGACCAATTGTTTAAAAACAAACCTTTCTAGCAATTGTAAAAATATTAATTATTAATGACTTCTCTTTAATAACTAAAATGTATCCAGTCAAATGAACTTCGGGGCGACTAGCTAACTCCACCCACCATAAAATAAGGCATGTTACCGTTAGTTAGTTAGAAGAACAATAGATAGGATATAAACACAGATTGTTACCAGTTTCTGCACACCGATTGTTCTTACTACGTGGTTTGTTCAGTCTCTTTATTTCCCGATGACAGTATTGGGGGAAAACACACTACAAAGCAGGAACATTGGTGTCATGGCTGGCCTCCATATGGAAGATTTCTATTAAGACTCAGTGAAAAGCATGACACCACAAAGGACTGTCGAACCCAACCTTGTAAAAGACTAACAGGGACATGAGTAAATCAGCTGTAATGTCACTAAACTAAACAGGTTTGTTTGGCAATGCTGTGGTGTGTTTCTTGGTTTGGTGACCTTCTCATACAACAGTCTTAAGGATCAGAAATGTGAGGAGTGTCCGCCCACTTCCTGGACTGATCAGAATAGAAGTGAAGACTAGCCCATGTTGTGGCGGTTTCCATAACCTCTGCGATGAGTGTCTTTCCAGTCGTCCCAGTTTCTGGCTTTCAGCAGAGACTCCTCGTCATCATCGTCAGCCTTCTTCTCTTTATCTTCTTCTTCTCTCTCCTTTGCGTCGGTGTCCTCCTCCACAGCCGGCCTCGTGGGAATCCCCTGGTCAGGCATAGCTCCTCGTTTCCTGTGCTGTTCATACCAGTCGTCTACTGTCATGGTGGGGAGGCTGGGGTAACCAGCCCCGAACACTTGAGCCTGTGGATGAAACCAACACATTCTGTCACACATTGTTGCACAGCAGGTTAAGGAGACTACAACCAGTGGTGCTTGGTATGTGGATTTGTACATGCCACATTGGATGGAAGTTTACTGTTTTGATGGAACCCTATCCAGAGTTCCTGCTGGAGCGCTCTCTGCTCTTTAATCATCATGTCAGCTCCCTCACCTGCTTCACCTTCCAGTTTTATGCTTTTGTGTGATTTGTGTTGAACTGCTTCTGTGATGCTGAGTTATTACCACTGCTCTACCCTCTCAGTGTCTTTGAATGTGCACTGAGGGATGTGTTAGCTGCTCTTTGCTGACAGTCAGCGATTCTTCTTTTAGGTTAACGGCTGCAAAGATGAAGTGATTTATCAACATTAAGCCAATATGGGTTTATACATGTTGGCCGATTGATCGGTCTCTCTCTACTCTATGTGCTACTTCTGCAATCACCAGCAGCTATTCTTGCTGGTTTTGGTCCAGTACCAGCTGGCCTGTCTCCCACCCGAAGTGTTACCTGAACAGCATCCTTGGTGAGAATGAAGGGTTTCATGGGAGGCCTGACTGGCTGAACTGGCTGCTTGGCGGCACCCTGCTTCAGCCCATCCATATTCTGGAGTATCTCCACCTCCTGGTCAATGCTCTCTATTTCCTCCAGACACACAGCGACCCATCTCCGGACATTCAGATTGTAGAAATCTCTGCTGACTTCATCGTCGGCCTGTCCGCTGTCCACAGCTCTCCGTACATCCGACAGTCTGGCTTCCAGCTCCTTCCTCTGGCGGTACCGCTCGATCTTAGCTTGTCTCTGTGCTGCCATGGAAACCAGGTCTGATGGGCAGGGTTGAGGCTGAAACAAGAAGCACGCATCACAACTCAGAGTATCACCAGATTCATGAGCAAACTCCGCTGCTAGTGACACTTCAGTAGACTCATCTATTGGAAGCCACACTCTCAAACAGCACTGCCATCTACTTCCTGCTGGGCTCTGCTCAGTCAGGTGGGGTTAGACGTAAAGCTACCGTTGATATGAACTGAAAACTTCCTGCATGACCTTCACAATAAAAGTGTTTTGATATGAAGGCAGTGACAAAGGTGAATGACAGCATAGTCAGCACATATTCTCAAAGATCACTTGATGGTAAGCAGGTTATGGATGTGGGTATTATGGGGAGGGGGGCTCCTGCTGAACTCTGTACTTTTATTTTTAATCTCATAATAAATAGATATCGATTATTGTTCATTATTCAGCCTCTAGATGTCCCCTCTGTGACTTTTACTGACACAGTTGCTAATGTATCAGGAACACCTGGCTAAAATGAACCCGATCCAATAAAAAGCCCAAAAGCAACACCTGGTACCTTCAGGGAGTTTCTGCTGTTCAGTGTGTGTGTTTAAAAGAGGTGCTCATTAAATGTCCAACTATGAAGACACATGAGGGGACAAATGTTGTCAATTTCAAAGACATTAAATTAAATCTTAAAATTGAAACTGAAAGATTGATCTGGAATCTTGAAAGACAAACTAAGATTGAGGATCAGCTAACATTAGCCAACTTGTTTTAGGCATTAGTTAAATGTTACCTTTTACCATAACATTAGCTTACATAGCATAATGTTAGCAATCCTTCTTGTTGTTATTTGCTGATGTATACAAGTCATATGTGTGTAAGGCTGGTTGATATATTTGATTTTTAACCCCGCGGTGTGTCCCATACGCCTCACGTTCATTCGTGACTACATACACCACCAACAGGCAGGATACGTGAGGCAGCAGCATGCGCACATGAACACGTATGACAACACGTAGATCTCAGACTTATGTCTGATAATGGAGCATTAAAAATACAGATGAAGTTGTATTTGAAAAGGGACTTCCTTTAGAGAATGTTCCAGAGAGACGATAAGAATACCTACAAGACTACCAATGATGGAGGCTGGCTGGTGATCGCAGACTGCATAGAAGACACACTCAATAGACTTCAGTTTGGGTTCAGATGCAGAACACTGCTATTCAGCCAGAGTGTGGAATGAAATGTACAGCGACAAACCAAATATTCTGTACATGCTTTTTCCCCGGCTCGCGTTGAAGGAAATTAAAACTGAACAAACGCTGGGTGTGTTTAGGGGTCTTGAAAGACAGTATGACTACATTGAGGAGAGTTCTGTGTATTGCACATGGACAACGACAGTCGTCTCAGAGAAGTAGATCTTTAGATCTTAAATGGTCCAGCCTCTACCTCTCCCACCAGGAGGAAGAACCGGGTACCACATCCCTAGTTGCTGGAAGCAAGACAATTAGAGCGTGAGTTTAAAGAGAGGCTCAGTGCTGTGTTTCGCTTTTCTAAAGAAGTGACGTGCGGTATCAAATGCGCTTACATGCATCGATGGAAATGCTGCACAAGCCGGAGATGATTTGCCCGACCTCTGTGATGTCCACCTTAAATGGGCCAGGAGTTCAAGACTCACCGTGTCCGGTCGACACCTTAGAGAGCCAGTGGAGAAGCATCAGCAGGCTCCTCAAGTGATCAGCCATTGAAGCGTTCAAAGCTGCTGGAGCAAAGCAGTGTTGTCAGGCTTCAGCACTGGGTGACATCAGATTGCTCACCCGGACAATATCAAATGTTCATGTTGAAAGAGCATCGTCCCAAGTGACGCAGCTGAAAGATGAGACAGGATATCACCCAGGTCAACAGCTCCTTTCCAGCCTTCTGGATGTGCGCTTCTATACCCGATTTATTTTTCAATTTGAATTATTAATCTTAAAATGTATTTATTTCTTTATTCTTTTCCCCTTATTTTTCGAAACATCTTTATTTATGATTTTTCTTTTATATTTCCTAATACATAAATATATGTGACATTTTATCAATAAGTTAATGCCTCCGTTTATGTTTAATATCATTTTGGTTCATTTTGGATCAAGTTATTAATGCAGTTTTGGTCCTCCATATTTCACAACTTTTAAGCAGGTTGCATTTTGGGGCTTTTCATGATTTGTGTTTTCAGTTGTTTGACTGCAGTCTTTGTGGGTTGCACAGCCTATTTATTTATCTTTGGTGATTTGATAATTTTAATTTATATCCTGTTTGTAATGGTTTTACAGTTCTACACTGGTTTTCTGATTATTAGACTGATGATTGAATTGGGCTGTTTTTATTCAATTATTAATTAGTAGTTGGGCATGAAACTGTTGATCTGATCTGGCAACACTGATCTCGCCTACTGTTGCTATTGGTGCTGCTGGTGATGATGCTGCTGCTGATGATGCCGTTGCTGATGATGCTGATGGTGCTGATGATGCCGTTGGTGATAATGCTGCTGCTGGTGGTGCTGATGATGCCGTTGGTGATGATGCCGTTGGTGATGATGCCAATGATGCTGATGGTGCTGATGATGCCGTTGGTGATGATGCCGATGGTGCTGATGATGCCGTTGGTGATGATGCTGTTGGTGATGATGATGCCGTTGGTGGTGCTGATGCCGCCGTTGGTGGTGATGATGCCATTGGTGGTGATGATGCCGTTGGTGGTGCTGATGATGCCGTTGGTGGTGCTGATGATGATGCCGTTGGTGGTGCTGATGATGATGCTGTTGGTGGCTTAACAGTTCTGCTCCTACAACTAACACGAAAACAGCTACTGCTTCTTCTTCAATGGTTCATTCTGACATACACGTTATGCTGATTCTACGTTTCGACACATTATGCACAAAAACGTAGCAACCCAGTATCCTCGGCAAGTGATCGAATGGTAATGTTACCTAACGTTTGCACACATCACTTGTCACTTACCGTTACCTTGGCTGTAGACGATCCGTTTTCTGATGCCTCATCAGGACTTGCGTTTTCATTGGTCACGCGTGGCAGTTCAAAGTGTGATATGTCATACTCTTTACATCGCTTCAAGAAATCCATGAAGTAAGCCCGGGCTGTCTGGACTATCTTTAGTCGCTTGTCTCGGCTGGTCTGCTTCATGGTCAGGGCTCCACACAGAGCGGGCAGCAGCAGGTACTTCAGGTCGGCCGTGGCTATCTCCTCGAGCTCTTCATTGCGGCTGAACAGGTCGAGCAGGGCCACCATTCTGGACGCTTCTTCCAGCATACCGATACCGCGTTTAACTCGGACCTGGATACTGGTAGAGGCGAGGGGTTCGTTTGTACTGTCTACCTCCTCAAATATCTTCCACCCACGTTCAAGCAGGTCAGATAGTTTAGAAGGTTCCGCGGCTGAAACATCGTTGGTGTTTTCATATTCCGCCATCTTGTCGTAGTTTCCGGGTTCTGTCTTCTTCGTTTATTTATTACGTAGAAGTGTCTCAAGGAGCTTTACTGCCCACTACAGGACAAACACTGAAACAACACTCAAAGGTCCAACAGTTTTAAACTCATAACATGTTCAACATACTGTAGGGTAGGCTATGTAAATGCACAAATTGACCACAATTATATATGCGTTTACATTCGAGATGTCTGGACTACATCTGGTGTTCAGCAATTTTCTTAAATTGAAACTATAGTTGGAAAAGATTTTGCCTCATTGTGATTGCACAGTGCCAGCGGTTGATTCTTTGGAGAGATACATTCAACTTTGTGTTTTCTCTTCCAAGCAGTGCTTAAGGAGCTTTTCTCACGTTACATCAGTAGAGTATTGGACAGGTGCATAATGACCACGGGACAACAGGAAGTGTGAATAGTCTGCTCCAATTCCATTTTAACACAACAGTTCACTGCTGACCTACTACAGGTGAAAAGAAAAAATGGTTAATTATACAAAGTGCATGTCAAAAATGAATTACTGTTAAGTTACTTAATAAATCCAAAAATAGCTTAAAGGGCCAGTGTGGAGCATTTTGGGTAATGGACTATAATGTTCATAACTATGTTTCCATTAGTGTATAATCAGCAGAAACGAAGGAGATAAAAATGAGTCCTTCATATCTCCATCGGGAGCAGGTTCTCTTCAGAGCTATGCTATATGTTAGCACGTTACTGCTAACATATAGCTACTGTGAGGAGCGAGAGGAGCGAGAGCTCTTCAGACACCGCTCTCTGTAACCTCACTGCGAGACACACCGTCCCTTTAATTACAGCAGAGGTGATTTGATTTAAATAAAACAAACTCTTTTTAATTCTTCATTCATCAGTTGTTTCTACAAATTGCAATTTCTCATTTGGAAAATGAATTGGGGCATCTAGTAAACTTCATAAAACACCCATTGCTCCACCTACTAGTATTTGATAAGATTGAAGACTTCTGTTTGCTGCTGCCTTTAATTGAACCTGATTCAAGGATATTAATACATTTCTGCATTCTACTACTGTATTTTATTTCTTACACTGCTTTTTAGTGTTTTAATGACTGTTTTTAATGTTTCAATCAGTTCTTAAATCTCATTTTCTTTTGCCTTGTGTTTTGATGCTTTTATGTGAAGCACTTTGAACTACCTTGTTGTTGAAATGTGCTATACTAATAAACTTGCCTTAAGATTTATTCAAACCATTTGACAGTGAATGAATATTATTCAAACAACCCAGTGGCTCAGTGTAAGGCACACAGAGTAGCTGCAGGATTTTAGTGAAAATCTTTTCTTTAAAAGATGACCTCAGTGTTAACCAACACAGAAGCAAAGGACAGCATGTATATTGTGAAGTATTTCTATTTGGTTAGCATGAAATCACTCTTTACGTACCTTTGGTCTAAATACTACAGGTACCATGAGCATAGTGGGGCACTGCTACTTGATGGTAGACAGGAGCACACACACACCAATAGTAGGAAGCTGATTGTTGCAAACCAGCCAATAAGATGGAAGACCAACCAAGCAAAGCAGCAACTGCCCCATATTTACAGGCCGGTTTCATGCTCTTAATGAGCTGCAGCGGAGCGATTAGCTCTCATCTTGTGTGGCGCCTCGTTCAACAAGACAGGTTGGGAAGTTAGATGAGAAGGAGATTTAGGCAGGAAAGCTAATGTGGTTGTTGTTGTCTCCCCTGTTGTGTAGCAGGCTGCTGTCTGCCGACTTCAAATATGGTTTAAACCCATTTGATTGGTTGTCTGGAAACAAGTTCTCCATGTACGTACACGGATGGATACAGTATTCTGACAAATTAATGCAAAGGTGGGGGGGCCATCACAAAAGCAAAAAGTGAAGGTAAATATCCCCCTTATGTCAAAGGAGAACAAGTATTAACACCTTCACTGGTACTTCATGTTTAATCACATTAGCACACTGCAGAGTCACGAGCAATGGGAGCTAACGGGTACTCGGCTCATTGTAGCCCAGGACTTACTGAAGAGTTAAACAGACCATGACTGAGAATATTCAAGCCAACCTCCCCCTCACATGAACAGAGCACTCTACAGGACAGAGCGCCGGCATGGCAGTACTGGAGCAACTGATCTGTGAGCCTGGTGATTGGAGGTTTCTTACTTTCTTGGGAGTTCTCAAGTTTTTATAAACTCATTGACGCCAAGCTGCTTTGATTAGTTTTACTGCTTCAAGTGGAAAACAGAACTCTATCCTATACATGCATTTGTTTGTTTACCTCACAGGTATCACGCTCCAGTGATGCAACTAGCCAATCACTGCCAAGAAAGGAACATAAACAATTATAGAATGTGCTACTAATTAATAGGAAAATGTGTTCAATTGACTGTCCATGTGCTTGTATAACACAGGTGAGCTTACAATTCAACATAAATGGAGAATAAAGTTTCCAGTAATAAATACATGTTTAATTGTGTCAATCAACAGTTGCTTCTGAACTCCACCTCCTTTACTTATAGGCCCTCTTTAGATTGGTTGAGTCTTGAAAAGTTCAATAAATGAGTAGATAGTGATTTTGTGTACTGTTTATATATATTTTCCCTACATTTAGTGCCAGAAAACTTCGTTAGGATATTACAAGACCCGTATAAGATGTTACCAAAATGAAACCCTGGATGAGCGAAATACAGTTGGCTACAGCATGAATATCATATGCTGGTTGAACTTCAGCCACTCACAAACAAACAGAACAGAGCCCATCTCTGCCTCACGCAGAAAGATACAGATGTGTGTCCCGTAGCAGCTGGACTAGAAGAACATTCCAAAGTTCTCATGTAGAAAACACCTTTTGGCACAAGACAGTTTACAATGCACACTGGTGATGGCTCTGTTGTTGGCAATTGAATTGCTTTCTGAGTCTTTGTAATGGAAGGCACAGTGTGTGTGTGTGTGTGTGTGTGTGTGTGTGTGCGCGCTGACACACACGTTTGGCTCAACAGATTAGAAGACGAAGCAAAGAGAAATGTGGCGTTGTCGTGGGCAGCACCCTGCTGGCTGACAGCACTTTGGGGAGCTTCCTGTTCATACTTGCTGTGAAGCTGGAGGATGCTGGTCAGCATTAACTCATCAGGAAGCTGCACCAGAGACAAGAGGATGTTAAGTCAACGGAGCAGCCATTACATCAGCCAATGGAAGCAGGTCTCCCTGTCCCTACCTGTATGGGTATCCATGGTACTTTGCTCTGAAGACGGACAGCAGCCAGCTGAAGAACAGCATCACCAGACCAATACCTGCTACACACATGACTGACACACACACACACACACACACACACACACACACACACACACACACACCAGTTTGGCTACATATATAGTACATTCCTGCGCTTGTGTTGATGAATGGACATCCATGCTTGTCTATTCATATTCATCAAGGTCCTCAGCTAATTATTATATTTACTTTTCTACATTAGTGATAAACTGTCAGAAGTCAATACAGAGCCAAAGATATACTGGAATACTTCCATTAAGTCAAACGTTCTCATCATCAATGGCTAAGTTTACCAGAACCTCCTACAAGTACCACGAGCTACAGAGATACTACAAGTACCACGAGCTACAGAGATACTACCACATGGAGACTGGAAGGCTGCTTTTATACCGACAACATATTCTCATGCAACTCGCTAAATGAAGGCTTTATTTTGACCAAACCACAGTTGGTGATTGTTGAAACAGCTTCATTTAGTTCTGTGTGTTTTAAGATGACTTCAGAAGGTCTTACTCATACTTTCTTTCACAACATTTGGAGCTTTTGGTTTATCTGCTGCTGATATAATGGTATGGTGGCCTCGTCCAAACTGTTCCAGTAAACACTTGGACATTTAAACATTGATGTAGAGTATGAGTCTGTGTGCACATACTCTTCCTCTTTCCAATGTCAATGTCAGAGGTAGCGGCCTCACACAGCAGCACCATTCCCATGGTAACAGCAGCATCTGAGCGCAGGGTCAAGGTTTAGACAAGAATGCATGCGATGCCTAACGTTCACTCAGCCTACTCTTGTACAAATCACAGAACAGTGCAACCGGATCAGAGCCGACACTCTGGGTTAGTTTAGATTGTCAAAGAGTAAGAGTTTAAAGGATACTGAAGAGGAGGACGATGTGCGTCTCAGCCACAAACTGGGCCTGACTGCTGCCGTGGATGTAGCTCTGAAAACACACACACAGTTAAACACCATTCTGATACTCAGTTCACATATGCCCATGGGGATGCAGATAGAATGTGAATAGTGTGTTTCTGTCTTACCACTTGACCGGTGCTGGGGTTCTTGTGTGCATAAGGTGGTCCTCTGATGTGGTTCCACATCTGGCCTGAAGTCATGATCAGAACAAAGCACTGAAACAGACAAAAAACAAGACCGACATAATCATCAGCATATATTCATTCATAGGAACTGGGCTGAGAGACTTTCCATCCACAAACGTGACATTCTGTTATATACATCATAACTTCAGGCCTTGTTGTACTTGCTACTATTACCCTTGTTAAACCAGGTACTTATAAGGTCAGTACTTGAAGTGGGTTGATACTCACCTGTAGCAGCACCAGCACTTCTACATGTTACTCTTTGGTGTACCGGGACGTTTTTACAACATGCTGGTACCCTCCTCTGCCCTCTCCATATTGTGTTCGCTAAGTGATTCATAATGAATACATCAATAAATACAGCACAGAACCGCAGACGGTGCCAGTGGGTCGGATCCCACGCAAAATCAGATGAAATCAGGCAGGTTCCCCAGAAAATCTTATAAGTACCTGGGTGTTCACTTGTACAACAAACTGGACTGGACTGACCACATACACGCACTTTACAAAAAGAGTCAGAGCACACCATCTGCTGAGGAGACTCAGGACTTTTGGAGTGCAGGGAGCACTCCTGAGGACCTTCTTCTTCTGTGGTGGCATCAGCCATCTTCTAAGGAGTGGTCTGCTGGGGCAGCAGCATCTCGACAGCCGACGGGAAGAGACTGAACAAACTTATCAAGAAGGCCAGCAGTGTGCTGGGGTGTCCACTGGATACGGTGGAGGTGGTGGGAGACAGGAGGATCCTGATGAACAACACCTCCCACCCCATGCAGGACGCCCTGGCAGCTCTGTGCAGCTCCTTCAGCCACCGGCTGATTCACACACCATATAGACATGTATATGTATATATGGTGTGTGAAGGAGAGGTACCGCAGGTCCTTCCTTCCTGCTGCTGTCAAGCTGCACAACCAGCTGTGCTCCCAGTAGACACACAACACTAACAACACTAAAGAAATCACTGCAATAATTACACTGTGCAATAAAAATACCCGGTCAGTATATATAATATTTTAGTTCTTTAGTTGTACTTAGTTACTGTGGATTTTGTACTTTTAGACTTAGTTGATACTCTTACTGTTTCTTACTTATTTACATTACTTGTTGCTCTTGTTTTTTACTCTGTATCTTGTTACACTGTCCACTCTGCTGCTGTGATCCTGTGAATTTCCCCACTGCGGGACTAATAAAGGATTATCTTATCTCTTAAACTCTTCAGCTCAGACTCCATCGGGGCCACCAGTGGCACACAGCCTGCCGAGGACAGACCCAGATCAGGCTTCACTGTAGCCTTCAACCTGCAGTCGGAAGCTCCGGCGGGAGGAGGAGAGCTCTGCATCTGGCAGCAGCGTCACCTCCTCCAGGAGCAGAGTTACGTCTGGCTGCTCCGCTGGGAGCAAACACCGACACCATGGTGCCGGAGACCCAGGCTGTGTTTCTGGCCCTGCTGGAGGGAAGGGAGGCACGAGGCACTACTTATTGTCCATGTTAGTCCGTTGGACGAAGATACCGAAAACCGCTGCTTTGTTTGTTGCCCACAGGAGTGTTTGAGCTCTCTGGCTGAGACACTTTAAGGTCGGAGCAGTCTACTTCCTACTCTTAAAAGCTTGGTGGACAGTAACCTCCATGTATTCATTTGGTGGTGGTGTGTGTGTGTGTGTGTGTGTGTGCTGGCTGTTATTACCAGTGCAGAGAAGGCCCAGACATTCTTGTTGAAGAGAAACTCCAAATTGTGTCTTCTCAAATACGCCAGCCCTCCGATCACAGCCAGGAGGAAGCCCAGCAGCAGAGGCCCTGCGTAGTTGGGAGGACGAATGACACGGATCTGAAAAACAGACAAACATGTCTATAGTCTTCAGAGAGTGTGATTGTTAAGTTCAGAGACGAGGTTATTGGATTATTTAGTCATAGCAAACACAATGACGGATCACATAACAGCATGTTCTGCAATTACCTGCACATCAGTCCTGTCTGCCACCCACCTGGCCAGCTGCTCAGCCGCAAAGCCTCTGACCTGCAGCTCATAGGTATCCGTCTTACGAGGTTTCCCTTTGGCTGGGAAGTGGAGGAAGGTCGGAGCAGAATTCATACTAAGCTGCAACACAAACACAGAAAATACCGTCAAACAGGACCCATAGACATGCAGTGTGAGATGTTAGAGTGATGGAGCCCATGGCCAGTTGGGGGTTCGGTGCCTTGCTCTAGGGCACCTCTGCAGTGCCCAGGAGGAGAACTGGCACTTCCTGTCCACACTTTCCAAAGCCAAGTCCCCATAGACTGAAGGTCTGCAGTCCAAGCAAACACTAAAGCAGCTCACTTTGCTGACTAGCTCTCCTAATGTGGAGAGAGAATCAGCCGGTCCGATGTCTGGTGTGACACGCTGCTTTTGTTTCGGTGTCAATGAATGGATGGCAAACTGTTAGAAAACTAAAGGCATAACTTCCGTCTTGGTGAACCAGAAAATGTCTCACCATCTGAAAGACATCTGATCCTTCATCAAAGTCGACAGCCGCAAAGAAGACTTTGTTAGTGAAGGCAGAGGAATAACGCCAGGCGTTAGCTAGCACCTGGAACTCCTCATCAGCTTGTCTGAAATGAAAAGATGCATTTCAATTCACAGATAAGAATTCAAATAACAGCAAAGCCTATTGCTTGTGCTACTTACTTGCAGACCCCACACTGTCTCTGTGGCTGCAGTGCCGTGAACATGATGACCACCGAGTAGTTCCTGGGAGGAGCCTTTACAAAGCGACGGAACTTCTCTCCATTCATCCGGATCACTGAACGCTTGGAGGCCCACTCCATCATCTGAGTCACCTTCTCTGACATCAGAGTCTACAGACACACAGACAGCTACTGGTGATGGATGCAACAGCAGTAGAGCAGAGAGAAAGGCTAGCAGCCATCGTGACAGTACTTTAGATCAGGGTGCACATTACATCCAAGACGGAACAATACAAACTGAGATGTCGTGTAAAATACATTCAAACTCCTAATAAATTCAATTTAAATCCAGATAGTTGATTCACCCCTCGGGTAACATTTGGAAGCAAGCTGGTTTGCAAATTCAAAATCACATAAACATAAGAAGAATGCAGCAATACAAACTATACTCATGTAAAGAGTTAACAAGTGTTAAAGGAGCTGGCCAATCCACAGGTGACCAGCAGTGTTCAATACTAAAGAACAAATGTATTTCTCAATCTATACGTGTAGAGCTCCTTTATGGTTTCATTTTGTTCTTCACATCATGTGAACAGACTCTTTTAACAATATGATAGAGAACACCTTTTGTACATCTTCACAGGGTATTTTGTGGAAAATAAATGTCCTTTTCATTTAGTACGCCTATGTTTCTTCCATTGTTGTCCCGGTCTCAGAGCCGGGCTGTGACAGTGCATATGAAGGAGTTAACTCAGCACACCATTACCTTGCATGTTCACAAATGCAGCCTCTGGAGTAAAAAGCCTGAGCATCTTTTCAGCAAGACTTCTTGTAAAGTGGACACAGTGATACGTGTGCACGCTGTTATGGGTTATACTGTTGGGGGCGTTTACACTGAGATAAAGAATGTTTGATCGGTCTATATAATGTAAATGGTAAATGGACTTGTAGTTGTATAGCGCTTTCCTAGTCCTATGACCACTCAAAGTGCTTTAACACTACATGTGCCACCAGTCTATCAGGACTATTGGGGTTTGATGCCCTCTGATTGAAGGACGACCCGTTCTACCACTGATCCACAGTCGCATGTCCACATCATGTGATGATCCTCACAATTTAGAAAATATGAATGATTGCTGGTAAGAGTAATGAAGTTTAAGTCTTATTCCTGATGCAGACTGGCCTGATTTTCTATTGGAGGCTTTTCTCTGACAGTTTCACTTCCTGAATATTCAAATGATGGGGTAAGGTACCACTGGACAATTCCCATTGTTATATTCTATGCAGTGAAGGACTAACTTTTATCAATGCGACTTATATTTATATATAATAAAAACAGACTTGAATGAAGCTATCTTATTGAGAAAAAGAGAATCAGCAGATGTTAGTGTACATCTGGCAGAGAGTACCATTGTAGGTAGTAGACAGGAAGTACTAGTCGGAGCAGTCTGCACTTCCTGCACGGCTCCTGCTTGCTGCCGTGTTAGTTAGCTAACGTTGAGTGAGTCTTTAAAAGTGTCTCCACTCTCTGGATTTCAGACGTGTGGTGTAACAACAAGTCTACAACCACTGCTAGCAATGAGGAATCAGTGTCGAGAAAAATTAAATTAGTTGTAAACTAATTATTTACTCAACGTTAGTGCCACAACCACACGTTAACGTTAGCTCATTTCTGGTTGCTGTTAGCTTAGCTTTAGACTGACACGGACGAGACAACTTTGGAAATATTTCGCCCAAAGTCTGTCCACTTTCTGCGCGTTATGATATTGAAGGCATGTTACCTCTTTCTTCTTCTGTGCGCCAGCAGGGTCATTGTAGAAAATAAAGAGGAGAAACAGCGAGATGAAAAGTTTTCCAAACATTCTGCAACACTGTTCACACTGCTGCCGACCCCACACACACACACACCCCTTCTGTCAACCTCCTATTGGTCACCTCTCAGCCAATCACAGTCAATTGTGATTCCGTTTTGCTTCTGTTTTTTTTTTCAACTTTATTGAGAAAACGTAATACACCGATTACATTGCCTAAACCGCATGTTCCAGTTCTTCATTATAAAAGTTGTAGTAAATATATTTCATAGGATAAGAATAACAACAAAATATAGGGGAGGGAAAAATAAAAATAATCTTTTTGACTTAGCTAAATGAATAAGTGAGTCAATTTGAAATGTAACAATGTAATAGTTTTGTCCAATTTAAAATGTTTGAAAATTAAAATTGGTATCTTTTAAAATATAAAAGAAGGGTAGTCTGTTAAATCATATTACTTTGTGGATGTATTTTGACAAAGATATTAATCAAGTTACTTATGTAAGTTCATCAGCAGGAAAACTGGGATTGTTAAAAATTAGTAATACATGAATATTTGTTCATGTATCTTTTTTTAAAGGTTCTGTAGGCTTATATCAAACAAAAAAGTAGGCCTACTGTAGCATAAGAACTATTCACTAACACACATCATTATGTTCCCCTTCACAATAACAATCAGTTCATCTGTTGTTTAGAGTCGGGAAGAAATGACAGATATTAGCTTTAGCAGGGTGCCTGTGTACATTCTTAAATACAAACTCCTCGATCAGTCTTCTTCTTCTTCTTCTTCTTCTTTGAGATTTTGCGAGAAAGGGCAAGCTCAAAACGTGGCAGCGGCAGCTAGTAGAGGCACTTCCTGTTGCAAGTTCAGCTGCCACTAGCTTCTTGTGGCACCTGCCCGTGATTCGGAGCGGATTCCGCAGTAGTTTAGTCTTTATTTGTCGTTATTTGACATTATGTGACAATACATTAAGGTCATTGAAGGCATGACTGTTGGTAGTTGTAATTAGTTTTGTAAAAAAAGGCCAAATTGTAATAGTATGGCTACTCGTTTTTATTAACAAGCTAATGCGGGCTAACTTCAGTTGGTACTTGTTGCCCATGGCAACGATAAACACTTTCACGCAGCAGACTAAAGGAATGCAAATTGTAAATATGAATGATATGCATTGTACTGTTTAGAGTGATAGCAAAATGGCAATAGCAGTGGGCGTCAGCAGGGCCATGGCGGGAGGAAGGACCAGGATCCAGATAATACCACGATCCATGGAAACCTGCGAGGCGAGAAAGAACAAAGACTCCAGGGAAGAAGCAAAATTAGTAATGAGCATGAATGAGACATGAATTCATACAGAAGGAGAGAGAGAAGAGGAGAGATGAGCTCAGTGTATCCTAGGAAATCCCCCGGCAGTTTTGGCCTATAGCAGCTTATCTAGGGGCTGGTCCAAGGCAAACCTGAGCCAGTCCTAACTATAAACCTGAACCAGCCCTAACTATAAACCTGAACCAGCC